GACAGGAGCGATCTGCCACACCCCTGTGGACGGTTGATTGTGGTTTCTCCCTCTGTGTCCTTATTTGGTTGTTCCTGTTAGTTAATTACCCTCATTGTGCTCACATGTCTGCCACCAATTATCTACCCTATATTAGTTCCTGTCTGTCTGAGATTTAGTTGTCGGTTATTGTGAATGTTACCCTGTGTGTTGATGTCTACCCTGTCTGGATCTCCTGTTGTCATATCATTAAATATCCTTTTCTTCGTCATCCTGCCTGGTCTCTGGAACACCCTGCCCGTGACAGAAACATCTGTGATCACCTGATTATGTTTCAGGTATTATAGTGATTTCATCCATGTACTGTAGCAAATTTCTATTTGGTTTGCCGACACTGTCTCAGTCTTCCCTATTTAACAATCCTACATATGGTATCAGACAGATTAATAAACCATAATAAAAAACAATATTCTGATTATTCAGCAAATTGCTCAATTCTTTATTTTTAAATTGCATCAATCATAAAACATGTTTTATTTTGACATTTTGTTGCCAAGGATACTAAAATACCTACTTTTTGGTCAAATAAATTAGAAAGTTAATAAGTTACTTAATCATTTACTTTAAAATACTGACGGTTCAGATTTTACTTCGTGCAGGGCTGCAGGCAGTATATTGCTGAGCTTTAAAGAAAAACTCAACATTGACTAACAGGGCAGGAAATAATTGTTGTTGAGAACACGGAGCAGCTTGTTGTTGTGTGTGCCAAACTCAAACATATTTGGTCCGCTGAAGATATAGTTGAAACCTAAAAATTATCATAAAAAACTGTGTTAGATGGGGTTTTACTTCAGATTTTCTTGTTTGTAAGTCACTTTGGATAAAAGCATCTGCTAAATGAATGAATGTAAATAAAGGTATGCAAAACCCATACCTTTATACTGGAAGGCTGCGGTCACCTTCCCTGTCATTCCAGAGAAAACGTCTTCCACCAGTTTAGGATAACCTTACTCCAGTTTGCGTTGTTCCTCATTATAACTGTACAAAATAAATTAATGTTACTTGAGGATTCCTGAAAAAGATGACCAGCTCGATCAGAT